CGCCGAGCGAGGGCGAGGAGAGCACCGTGCGCTTCGCCCGCAAAGGCGCCCTCCGCCAGAAGAACGTGCACGAGGTGAAGGACCACAAATTCATCGCCCGCTTCTTCAAGCAGCCCACCTTCTGCAGCCACTGCACCGACTTTATCTGGTGAGAGCGCGCCCGCGCCCGGGGAGCTGCCTGGTCTCGGAGGGAGCGCGGCGCGCGAGGGACCCTCTCCCCCCGGGGCTCCCGCGCCGGACCCCGCAGCCCGGACTCCCCGCTGCACTGCCAGTGGCCTGCGTGCCCCCCGGCCCTAGACGGCCGGCCGCCGGGCGCCTCCTGTTTGTCCGCGCTCCTTCCCGGTCCTCAGTGGCGCGGCGGGCGCCAGTCCCTCCACCTGGCTCCGAGCGCGGGGCGCCTGGATCTCCCGGGGCGAGCGGCGCTTCGGGTGCCCTCTCCCCCGGGGTTCCCTCTCTGCTTCCTCCTCGGCGGGAGGCGCCCTCACTGCCAGCCCCTTTGCGGGAGTAGCGCCCTGGTGTCCTCTCTCCGGTGCCCTGCGGGCGTGTGTGTGTGTGTGTGTGTGTGTGTGTGTGTCTGCTCTCAGTGGCTTGCGGGCAGCGCCCCGTGTTCCCGTCTTTTGGGCTTCCCTGGGGGCCCGGGGTGACCCTTTCCGCGCATCAATTATCCACTGTCACTGCGGGCCCCCTTCTTTCCTGTCCACCAAGATGAGGGGGCTTCTTTCCCCTTTCCAAAGTCCCCATCCCCCTGCAGACATCACTCCGCAGGATCCCCCTCAACCTTTTCTGGGTTCGTCTTTGTACCTTGGGCTTCTTCAAGGGTACGGGGTCGGGGAAGGGGGGGACATCTGCAGAGAGATCTCTCCTTCACTCCCCTCTTCTACCGCGTGGAAACACTCTGTTCCCGCACCCGGTGGTCCCATCTCCTGTGGGGAGAGCTCCCCCAGCGAACCCCCAAAGGCGGAAGTGTCTGGGTCTCACGGCTGGGAGGCTGCACCTGGGGTAGAGGGGTGGGGAGGAAGCGGGGTTAGGGGGAACTAGCCACCGGCAGAGGGCCGCCTGACGCCTCTCCTTCTGCGTTTGCAGGGGCTTCGGGAAGCAGGGGTTCCAGTGCCAAGGTAGGTACCATGGTCCTGGGGGTGATGGCGCGCTGGTGATGACCTTTATGAGAAGAGATGGTGAAAGGGACTTTGCAAAAGTGATCGAGTTAGAGAGAGAAATCCTATCTGTCCAGAGTGACCTCTGGGGCTAGGAATTCACCAAGGTGAATTCCACGAAAGGGGTCCACACCCACGTGTGGAAGGTGTAGTGCGCTAGGTCCCCAAGGGCCTGTGGATTTGGGAGGCCCTGGGCACCCAAGAAGTGCCGTCCCCTCTTCCTTCTTCCCAAGCTTCTGGCTGGCCATCCCAGCGGCTCCGGAGCCTTCCCTGATGGGGGTGTCTCTAGGGGCTCTTTCTGGAAGGATGCCTCCTCTCCAGTCCTGCCCTTTGTATCTGCCCACTTGCACTTCCTCATCTCACAAGGCTGGGTTCTGCCTCTTCCCTCTCCAGAGTCTGCAGGTGGTGCCTTCTCTGCCAGTGGTGGTATCTCCCCTAGAAAGTCTTATGAGGTTGTCCCCTGGGCCACCCTCCCTCTGAAAAAAAAGGTGGTTCCATATGGGATGCCTGGCAGAACTGAGTTCAAATCGATTGGTCTTCTGGTTGAATTCAGGAGCCCCTCCAGGTGGGACATGATCCCAGTTTTGCTCCTTGACTTGGATCAGAGATGCCCAACTCCTGTAGAGCTGACTTCTAATCTTGTGTAAAGACCCCCGCCCCCAGCAGCCTTCTAGCTAATGTCTTAAAAGTCACGCTGCATATTGGCAGTCCAGGGTCAAGCGTCCTATAGACTTGTTGAACCCAGGTTGTTAATTGTGACTTCACTCAATTTAGATTTATAGCAGCTCTGTGCAGAGTCAGCTGCTCCACACAGTTTTAGTGGCTGACTGTGACCTTCTGAAAGCAAATTACCAGATGGATCTTCTGAGACAGGGCTGGGTGGGTTTGAACTGGCAACCTTTCCAATAGCCATCTGACACTTCATAGTTTCCTTCTCCCAGGCTTAGCCCTGAAGGTGTCTTAAACATCATTTGCTGTTGATGCCAACATTTTAAGACTTAGAGATTTCACGCGCAAGTGAATTTTTTTTTTAAAATTTAGGTTGTTTATTTTTCATTTCAATGAACATCTACAGAGATTTTGGGATTCCATTCATTCATTGTTGCACCCTTCTCCCCGCACAAACCCCTCC